GTTATTGGATTCAATTTGCCAGTATTTTATTGAATATTTTTGCACCAATGTTCATGAGGGATATTAGTCTGTATTTCTCTTTCTTAGTTGTGGTTTGGGTACCGAGGTAATTGTAGCCTCATAAAAAGAGTTTGATACTGAACCATCTGTTTCTTTTGTGTGGAACAATTTGAGGCATATTCATGTTAGCTGTTCATTGAATTTCTGGTAGAATTCTATGCTGAAGCTATGTGGCCTTGGGCTTTTTTTTGGTTGAGATGCTTTGGATGACTACTTCTATTACATTAATGGTTATAGATCTATTTAAGTTGCTGATCTGTTCTTGATTTAATTTTGGTAAGTGATAGCTATCCAGAAATTTGTTCATTTCCTTTGAATTCTACTTGGGAGAATACAGAAAAGGTACATTTACTTTGTAGCAGAAGTGATTTTAGTTTTTCACATTTTACAGTCTTATTAGAATTTCAATATGTTTAGATATACTGTATCCCTGAAGAAAGGGAAGAGGGATTGATTATATGGCCAGGAGGGTCAAGGTCATAAAGGAGGAACACATGGAGACAGTAGACCAGAGCTTGTGGGAGCACATGGACTCTGGAACAATAGTTAGGAAAACTTCAGGGGACTGGCTTAGGTCCTCTGCATGTGTGTGACAGTTGTGCAGTTTGGTCAATTTGTAAGGTTCCTAACAGTGAGATGAGAACCTGTCCCTAATGACTTAGCTTAATTTTAGGAACCTGTTCCCCATGTTGGATTACCTTGCTCAATATTTTTGTAAGAAGAGGAGCATGGAACTACCTCAACTTGATGTCCCATGCTATGTTCAAGATCATGAGAGGCCTGACCTTTCTGAATAGAGATGGCATACTGGATGGGGAGAGGTTTAGACAGGAGATAGAATGAAGGAATGGGAGGACCTGAGAGAGGGGAAACTGATGTCTGTATGTAAAATAAATGGAAAAATGTTAATGAAATTAAATTTAAAAAGAAAGAATTACAGACCAGTTTCACACATGGACACAGATGCAAAAATACTCAAAAAAAAAAAAAAATGCTTGCAATCTACACCCAAGAATACACCAAAAAGATCATCTACCATAAACAAGTAAACTCCATTCCATATATACAGGACTGGTTTGACATAACAACAAAAAAAGAGTAAGTGCAATGTACCCTATAAACAAATTTAAAGAAGAAAGAAAAGAAAGAGTGAAAGAAAGAAAGACTATCATACCATTAGATACTGAAAAAGCATTTGACAAAATCCAACACCTATTCATAATAAAAAGTCCTCAAGAGTTTAGGGATACAAGGGACATACCTCAACAACATAAAGGGAATTTACAGCAATCCCATAAGCAGCAAAAATTAAATGGAGAAGAAACTTAAAGCAATTCCACTAAAATCATGGATAAGGCAAGGCTGTTCATGCTCCCTATATCTATTCAGCATAGTACTTGAAGTTTTAGCTAGAGCAATAAGATGGTTTAAGGAAATCAGTGTGATACAAATTAGAGAGAAAGAAATCAAATTATCAATATTTGCAGAGAACTCATACAGCTAATAAACACTTTCAGCAAAAAGTCTCTCATATAAGATTAACAAAAAACCAGTATCCGTCCTATTATATGCAAATGACAAGTGGACTGAGAAAACAGGTAAACAATACCTTTCATAATATCCTCAGATAATATAAAATATCTTGGGTAACTGCAATCAAGAAAGCGAAAGGCTTATAAAGCTCATCTTTTTGAAGAAAGAATTTAAAGAAGATATGGATGGCAAGGTCTCCCATGCTCTTGAATCATTAGGATTAACAGAGTAAAAATGGTCATCCTACCAAAAATTAATCTACATATTCAACAAAATCTCCATCAAAATTCCAACACAATTATTTCCAGACCTCTAAAGGACAATGTTTAATTTTATATCACTATCTCTGATTTCAAGTTCTACTATAGAGATACTGTAATTAAAACAGAATAGTATTAACGTAAAAACAGAAATTTTGATCTATGGAATGAAATTGAAGACCCAGACATAAATCTACCAGCCTGTGAACACCTAATTTTTTATAAAGAATCCAGAGATAGACACTGGAAAAAAATATACCATCTCTAACAAATGGTGTTCATCAACTGGGTGTCTGCATGTAGAATGATTCAAATAAATCCATATTCATCATCTTTCATAAAACTCAAGTCCAAGAAGATCAGGGACCGCAACATAAAACCAGATACACTGAACCTGATAGACAATGGGGAATAGCCTTGATTGCATAGGCCAGGAGATGATCTTCTGAACAGAATACCAGTAGGCCAGGCACTAAGATCAACAATTAATAAATGGGACATCATGAAACTAAAAAGCTTCAGTCAGGTGAAAGACACCATCAATTGGACAAAGTGACAGCCTACAGAATGGAAAATTATCTTCACCAACCTACAACTGATAGAACACTAATAGTCAAAATATTTAAAGAACTCAAGAAACTAGATAACAGAAAACCAAATAATCCAGTTTTTAAAAGGAGTACAAACTTAAACAGGATTCTTGGTAGAAGAATCTCAAACAGCTGAGAAACACAAAGAAATGTTCAGCATTCTTAGCCATCAGAAAAATGCAAAGCAAAACTAGTTTGAGATCCCACCATTCACCTGTCAGAATGGCTACAATCAATAACACAAGTAATACCTCATGATAGTGAATTTGTGGAGTACAGGGAACACTCCTTCATTGCAGGTGGGGGTGCAAACTTGAACAGTCACTATAGAAATCAATACGGCAGTTCCTCAGAAAATTGGGAATTAATTTATGTCAAGAGCCAACTATACCACTCTTTGGCACATACCTAAAGGACATACCATTCTACCATAAGGACAATTGCTTAACTATATTCATTGTGGCTTTATGCATAATAGCCAGAACCTGGAAACAACGCAGATGACCCACAACCAAAGAATAGATAAAGAAAATGTGGTACATTTACACAGTGAAGTATTACTCAGCTGTTAAAAACAATGACATCATGAAATTTGAAGAAAAAGTAATGGAACTAGAAAAAAATCATGTTGACTGAGGTAACCCAAATCCCAAAACACATATATTGTGTGTATTCACTTATAAGTATATGTTAGATGCTTCAAGTAAATAACAACCAAGCCAAAATCTGCAGACCAAGAGGTGTTTGGTGAAGAAGAGGGTCTAAATGGGATATGTTATGAGTAGATTTTTCCTGCCTGTCTGGCTGGTCCTACCGCCACACCAGTCCTAAATAACACACAGAGACACTGTATCAGATATAGTTCTGTTGGCCAGTTACTTGTTTCTTATTAGCTAGCTCTGTCTTAATTATTAACCCATTTCTATTAATCTAAGTACTTCCACGTGGTCTCATCTTACCAGAGAGAGAGAAGCTGATGTTCTCTCTATCAGTCTACCATCTTGAATCTCCCCCTTTCTCCTTCCTCTCCCCTCCTTGTCTCCTAGTTCTGCCTATCTTGCTTTCCTATTGGCCAACAACGCTTTATTCATTAACCAATAAGGGAATCATATTTACAGAATGACATCTCCCATCAGGGATATGTGAGTCTCCCTAGAAAGGGGAAATAGAATAGATTTTGTGGTTGGAGTGGGAATGGGTGGGGACTGGGAAGAGGAGAGATAAGGTGGGAGAGGGAGATGGGTTGGAAGGAGAGAGTGCTGGACAAGTTATATTGTATGGGGGGGGCATTTGTGGGAAGCGCTGTGCAAGCCTGGGGCAATGGAAGCTTCCTGGAATATCTGAGTGTGATCTTGAGGAACCTAATGATGGGGGATATGGACCCTCAACTGGTCCATCTCTTGTTTCCAGATAAGGCTCCCAGTGATGGGACTGAGTTGCATTCAGTTGAGTTTTTGGTCAATATGGTCTCATGAATATCCTCCAATAGGCCAGGCAGATACTAAACCAGAGGATTGTTCTTAGAAAACTGACATCAGAGCCCCCTTCCCAAGGTCAACATCTACACAGCTCATTAAATGTGGAAAGATTGAGCTGATTCCTAAGTGGAGTCTTCATCCCTACTTTCTAGTCTCTATGGTACTCTGTAGGCTACTGAAAAAAAATCACCAATTCAGCCACAAAACCTTTGACCAACACTCTGTAATATGTGCTGGGGTAATAATGGCACAGAAATTGTGGAAGTGGTCAACCCATGTCTTATTACCAATATCCTGCTATACTCACAGATTGGTGCCTTGTCCAGTGTTTATCAAAGAAGCTTCCTCCAACATTAGATAAGACTGACTGCAGAGATCCACAGTAGACATTATCTAGATAGAGTGTAGTTTGAGGTGTTAATTGGATCTCTAATCTAGGAGCTCAGGGAATCCTGTGACAATGGGGGAGAAAAGATTGTAAGAATCAAGGGGGATGGAGGATACCATGAGACTACATCCCATTGAATCAACTAAGCAGGGCTTGTATGGGCTCACAGAGACTGAAGCAGCCCTGCTTGGTACATGCCCTGCATGGTTCTGCACCATATCATTTGCATATAGTTTTGGCTGATTTCTTAGTGTTTTTTGGAACTCTTAGTATTGGGACAAGGTTATTTCTAACAGTTTTGCCTGCTCCTGGGACACTTTTCCTTCTTTTGCATAACCCTTGTCTTACTATATTTTGTTTTGTTGTTTGGTTGTCTCTTGGGGGCTCTTTTCTGAAGGGAAACCATATGAGTGTGGATCGAGGGGAGTTTTGGGGGATTTTAGAGAAGTGGATGTAAAGTAATCTGTGGTTAGAGTGTGTTGTATGATATAAGATTCTATTTCAAATTAAAAGCAAAGCATATCTGGTCACCATTCAATAGAACTAAGCCCAATAATCTCATGGTAAACATTACAAACAGGTGATGTTAAAGGAGAACTGGGTTTGCTTATCACTAGGACAAAGTCTACTTCAGCGAGAGATTAAACATTATCTTGTAGATGAGTCACTGAAGCTAAAAAGTGCAACATGCTGATTCTGCAGCCACATAATAAAAGCTCTGTGCCATAAGAAGGTTCTCCATGGATCCAGTCATGTTCCTACTACTCACCCTCTCCTGTCTGCTTCTCCTCTTAGTCTGGAGACAGATCCCTGGGAGAGGGAAGCTTCCTCCTGGTCCCACACCTCTCCCAATTATTGGCAATTTCCTCCAGATAGATGTGAAGAACATCCAACAATCCTTTACCAAAGTAAGTATACTTTATGGTCTTCTTGGACTTTGAAAATGAGGTAAATCTAATGTTTTCAATGAAATCCTGGAGGCAATATTGTTAAAAATGATCATATGTAAAGTTTTGTGTTTCTTATGTTTTTGTTTTTGTTTTGTTTTGTTTTTCTCTTGTCCTGGTCATGAATTCAGCAGTGAGCAATGTGTTTCAGATAGAATAACATCTAGGTCATTGTATTTTATAATATAAATCAAAAGATTCTAAAAGTTCTATATGCTTATTCACATCTTTGTTTTATAATTATTTTCCATTGTTTTTGACTGACCGTCAAGATTGAGTAATAATTCATCAATGAGTCAGAATTTTAAACACTTAACTGTTATTGGGATTAAACTCAATACTGATACTCTGAAGAACTAACTGGTGCCTGATTTAAATAAATAGTTAGAGGTATGGGCTCACACAGGAAATGAAACACATATACTGTGTGGCCAATATATATAGGAGTTCCCAAAATCTGTTTTCATTTTATGCAAACTTATGTTGTGGCAAGGAACAATTAGTGAAATGTTTGTTCTATAGATGTTGGATCCTAGAGTTCAGCTTCTATGGGTCCACTCTAATTTTTTTTAACTATCGAGAGAAACTAGATGTGATCATTTGTGGTGACCTCACATAGATTTCTATTCTTTATTACAGGGCTCACTGGTTTTCCATGGGAGGAGTTTCACAGCTGATTATACAGATGTCATTCAACTATTGATGTTCATTTCATATTGGAATAAGCATGAGAATGATTAGAAATTGCTCATGCATCTAATAATGAATAATCAAAGTGCCAATTTTGAGTTTTTATTCATAAGATATGTTCCATAAAATTAATTGGGATTTATTTTTACTTCATTTTATTTGTGAAATAAGACAAAGAGATCTGACAAATGTCTTACTGTAATTGGTTTTATGGTTATCTATGATTCAACTGCCTGGGCATTTGCCTGGGCCATTGTAGGAAACACCTGAGTGACAGCCACCATAATGAAAGATATCAGAAATATTTGCTACTGACTTTGCCTGAATAAAAACATTAACATGCAATAATGTCAGCCTCAATGAGGTTGACTCTATGGAGAATGGAGTGACATTATTTTTTTCTAATATTTGCCTTTTCTTTCCTATTTCCAGTTCTCAAAAGTCTATGGTCCCGTGTTCACTCTTTATTTTGGCAAAGAGCCCACTGTGGTGTTGCATGGCTATGAGGTAGTAAAGGAAGCACTAATTGATCATGGGGAGGAGTTTTCTGGAAGAGGAAGGTTCCCAGCTCTTGATAGAACTTTTAATGGCCTTGGTAAGTGTGTACATACTTGTGTGTGTGTGTGCTAGGAAGTGTCCATAGTGAGCCAGAGGATGGAAAACAAAATTCATACTTGCTCCTCAGACACTGGTTGAAACTCTGCCGCTGCCTCTTCTATCTCTGGGATCTACTCTTTTTCCATTTGTTCAGGGATCATTTTTAGTAACGGAAATAGATGGAAAGACATGAGGCGCTTTGCCCTCACTACCCTGCGGAATTTGGGCATAGGAAAAAGGAGCATTGAGGACCATGTTCAAGAGGAAGCACAGTGTCTTGTGGAGGAATTGAGGAAAACCAATGGTGAGTGCAGGTTTATAATCTAACTTTTACAACTTGGTCTGTTACAACAGTTCTCATCCTGTGGGGTTGTGAACCCTTAAGCAGTTGAATGACCCTTTCATAGTGGTCACCTAAGATCATTGGAAAACACAGATATAATTCTTAACAGAAGAAATTTTATAGTTAGGAATTAGCAATGAAAATAATTTTATATTTGGAGGTCACCACAATATGAGGAACTATATTAAAAGGTCAAAGGATTAGGAAAGTTGAGAATCACTGGTCTAGCATGATTGTGTAAGTCACATGGTTCCTGTCCTATTCAAAACTTTCTGTTATTTGTTATGACATGTCATAAGTCATACTAATTTTCCATTGCATTTTGGAGCTATGCGTTCTCCTTAACACAAGTGTAGTTTCTCTATTGAATTTCTCTATTGAATATCATCTAACCAGACACTGGTAATGGTGGCAATGTCATCAAGTGTACCTAAGGAACCTAAATTACATGACATTGATGTTCATTTTTTTTTTAACACCATTACTCTCTATTGCTTCATTTCTGTATCCTAGAATCCTTCAAGAGTCACGTTCACAGTCCTTCATGGCAGTAATGTGATATGATCTTCATATCTTAGCTAAGTGTAATACAACTTTCAACAATTGTATCTTTTATAACATGAGTTCACATTTTTTCATCATTTCTTCTTACAACGCACTTAGTGTTTAGATTAGAATCTTTTACTAAACCATGTTTCAACACCAATATTCAAAATTTACTCACACTTGAAATTTTATAATTCATTTAACTAAACAAGAAATATTTTCATTGACTCTCTAGTATTTCCCTTCATGTCTTACTTTCACATAATATTTTCATATTTACTCTTTTGTGTTAAAAAAAAATTGATGACTGTTCCTTTGGTAATACATTGAATGCCACTTACCTGGTAAATTCTTGTAATGAGAAGTCTTATCTTCTTTAGTTCTAAATGTCCAGGCTCTACTGGAACTCACTCTGTAGACCAGGCTAGCCTCACACTCAGAGATCCATCTATCTCTGCTTCAGAAGTGCTGGAATTAAAGGCACACACACCACATCCAACTCAAAATATTTTTTCTTAAAGAACAAAATTAATCGGTTGAAACATGGACATAAGAAAAGGAAAGCTTCATTTGTATACCCACCTGGGATGGATTTTTTCTTAAAGGCTGCCACATCATTTAGTTTTGTAGGCAAATCATGTCATACCTACGGTTGTTTATATTACTTTTTCTTCCATACACCTTGCTTTTCAAATTGTTCCTCCTCATTCTTGAATGTTACTATAATATTGTCATTCATGTCCACTTTACTGGAGCAGTGCATGATGTTTACTATTATTCATTAAAAAGAAAAATTCCAGATCTCCACCATTCAAATTCCTTCTCAGTTCTATATGATATAGACAAAAGTGACTCAGCTATGATCATTAGAACATTAGATTTATAAAAGTCTTTTGCACAAAATAGCATGCAGCTGAGATTATGTGTATAAGCAACACAGTAGACATAATCTTCCATTACTTAACCACTGAGAAGGCCAAGTCAAGTAAGGTTAAGTTTATTGCTGATCCTTCCCCAGGTGAGTATTGGCTGTTAAGAATAGTAATAATTAAGACATTGCTTAAAACTTATAAAATATCTTACCTATTAACAAAGGCAAAGTGTCCTCTTTGTATATTTTAATGGTGTTTCACAATTGTTCCCAACTCTCCAGGCTCACCCTGTGATCCCACCTTCATCCTGGCATGTGCTCCCTGCAACATAATCTCCTCCATTGTTTTCTATAATCATTTTAATTATAAAGATCAGGATTTTCTTAACTTGTTGAAAATTCTGGAAGAGAGCACCAAGATTCTGAGTTCCCCATGGTTACAGGTGAAGCCAATTTCCTTTCCTCCTGAGAACATGTGTATGGTGTTTTTTTCTTACAGGTCAAATTCAATATGAACCAGTCAGAGAGCTGAACAGACACCACAGTTCTGACTAACATATTATGGAAAATTATCTGGGAGTGAAGTCTAAGCCATTTGCATAAGGGAAAATGCTATAATTGCTCAAGCTTGATAGCTTCCTATATATTGACTTTTAGCATTGACTTCCACAGAGCTCTTTGTATACACTACTGTATTTATTTCTGGATGCTTGGCCAGTCATTCATAGGACATTCTTCTACTGTGTAAATTTATTGGCTTTTTTCCAACAATAATGGATTAAATATTGCTAACTATAGTTCTTGCTTGATAAATGTTTTGTTATATATTTTGCTATTTTGTGGTTAAAACCCTTCTTTTTATTTTAGACAGAAAAGAGGAGATGATGGGAGATGTCATTCTGTTAATATGTTTCTTGTATTGGTTAATGAATAAAGCCCTGTTGGCCAATAGAAAAGCAAGATAGGTGGGACTAGGAGACAAGGAGGATTCAGGGGAGGTAGGAGGAGAGTCAACATGTAAGACCAAGAGAACAGAAGTCTGGACCCTCTCTCCAGTAAAATGAGACCATCTGGAAATACTTAGATTAATAGAAATGGGTTAATATTTAAGACGATAAGAAAGTAGTAACTGGCCAACAGCATCATATCTAATATAGTGTCTCTGTGTGTTATTAGGGACTGGTGTGGCTGAGGGACCAGGCTCGGGGGAACACTGCCCATAACAAACATCCTCATCACATTACAATGTAGGAATATCTTTAGTTTAGACATACTATTCTCTTAGAAGAAGAAGAATATTTGTGGCAATGACACTTGCCAGGAAACACTGAGTAGCTTCAGTGGTTTGATGCATCAGCTTGTGTCCTGGTTGACAGAGTGACAGGTAGAAATGACAAGATGAATGGTTTGATGGTGCTTGTACTTTAAACAGCCCCACAGAGTTTTCCAGTGCTGAATTGGCATCTTCTATACATTGCACAAAGACTTATTGTGATATATGTGTACATATAATTTTATTTTATGAATTTAATATTTATCATCTGTGAATATGCCTGTAAGAAAGTGTATGAATCACTTGCACGTCCTACACACACACACACACACACACACACACACACACACACACTCCCTAAGAGGTATTGTGTCTAATTGATTTCAAGGCATTTTTGAACCCCACCCACTTCTATATACTCTTTTTGTGTAAAAAACTAGTTGATGGGAACAACATCTTCAAGCACTAGATTTCTACTGTAAAGCAGGTCACCAAACATCTTAACTTCTACTCTCACCTGAAAGTGTGAGTGTGAGGAATCTACATCATATGATATTTTAAGCTTATAGAAAAATAATTCATATGAACCAACAGTGATCTAACATGAAAGTGCTACAAATAAAAAAGATTCATGAATGTGGAAAATTTATTATGGTCTTTGACCATTTACTCAGAGATTTCTCTCTTACATCTCTATTAGTGTATCTGTAAATAAACCACCCCTTCAAGTAGAAAGACATTTACATCTAAGCTCTAAATGCAAATCAAGCTTGCTGTATTCTATAAATATGTCTTAATTTTATCATTACAGTGTATTCACTTAGTAAATTTTTTTGCATTTTCTTGTAGGTTTGCAATAATTTTCCTGCTTTGCTTGATTATTGTCCAGGAAGTCATAACATATTCTATAAAAATCAGACTTGTTTGAAAAGTTACTTTATGGAGAAAATAAAAGAACATGTAGAAACATTGGATGTTTCAAATCCTCGAGACTTAATTGATTATTACCTAATTAAAGCAAACCAGGTAAAGTATTAATAATTACTTATATACTTTACCTATGTGTATATGGATAGATAGGTAGATAGATTCATACATTTGTATGTGCATGCATATACATGTATAAAAATGACATGTTAATATATACTTATATACTTAATAGATTAGTCAATTTTTTGTAGTTCATTGAATACTTATTTACCAATGACTTTTAAAGAACAGTTCAATATCATTTGAGTTCTGCTTTTATTTTTTATTAATTTATTTTTTTCTTATTTTATTGATATCAGTTCCCTCTCCATCCCTCCTATACCCCCTGACCACCCTCCTATCCCATCCTCACCCCCTTCCCCTGCACTCAACAGGGAGGGTGGTGCTTCCAAGAGGGGTCAACTAAATCTGTCACATCAAGTCATTTGGAGTATGGACTAGGCCTTCCCTCCTGCCTCTAGGTTAAGGATGTATCTCTCCATAGGGAATATGTTCCCAAAGGTCCTTTGTGCACCAGGGACACTTCCTGGTTCCACTATCAGAGGTCCCTTAGACTGCCCAGGCCTTCTAACTGAGACCCCATGTTCATAGGATCTAAGTCAGTCCAATGCTGGTTTCACAGCTATCAGTATAGGGGTCCATTATCTCCCCCTTGTTTAAGTCAGCTGTCTCTGTGGGGTTCTGTAGTCTGGCCATGGCTTCCCTCTCTGCATCAGAATTCCAATACAGCTCAGTGTTTAGCTGTGAGTGTCCACTTCTGTTTCCCTCGGCTACTAGATGAGGGTTCTATGATGGTGGATAAGTTAGTTATCAATCTCATAATCAGGGAAGGGCATTTATGGAAGCTTTTCCACTGTTGCTCACATTGTTAGTTGGGGTCAGTCTTGTTTGTCTCTGGGCATTTCTCTAGAGTCAGTCTTCTCTTCAAACCTATAATGGCTTCCTCTTTTATGGTCTCTTTCGCATGGTCTTCTGATTCAATCTTCCTAGTTTCACATGCTTTCCTCTCCTCACCTTCTCTTTCTCCTACCTCCCCCTCCACTCCCAACATGCTCTGGAGATCTTGTTCCTTTTCCCTTGTGTGAAGACTTTATATGAATCTCTTAGAATCCTCCTTGTATCCTAGTTTCTCTGGTGGTGTGAATTATAAGCAGGTGATCCTTTGCTCTATGTCTAAAATCCATATATAAGTGAGTACATACCATGTTCCTCTTTTTTGTGACTGGGTTACCTCATTCAGGATAGTTCCTTCAAGTTCCATCCATTTTCCTGCGAATTTCAGGATTCCATTGCTTTTTTCCACAGAGTAGTATTGTGTAAATGAGCCACATCTTCTTTATCAATTTTTCAGTTGGGGGGCATATAGGTTGCTTCCAGGTTCTTGCTATTACAAATAATGCTGCTTTGAACATAGTTGACTACATGTCTTTGTTGCATGGATGTGAATCATTTGGGTATATGTCTAAGAGTGGGATTCCAGGGTCCTGTGGTAGACTGATTCCCATTTTCCTGAGGAACCGCCATACTGTTTTCCAAAATGGCTGTACAAGTTTGCACTCCCACCAGCAGTGGAGGAGTGTTTCCCTTTCTCCACATCCTCTGCAGCATAAGTTGTCTGATGGGAGATGTTATTCTGTATATGTTTCTCATACTGGTTTATGAATAAAGCACTGTTGGCCAATAGGAAAGCTAGATAGGCGGGACTAGGAGACAAGGAGGAAAGAGGAAGTAGGGAGGAGAGTCAACATGGAGAGTCTGGAGAAAGCAGTATGTCAGCCGGCTCCCCAGTAAGAGAAATACATAGATCAGCAGAAATGGGTTAATACTTAAGACAGAGCTAGCTGATAAGAAACAAGTACCTGGCCAATAGCATTGTATCAAATACAGAGTCTCTGTGCGTTATTTGGTGCTGGTGCAGCGGTGGGACAAGACTGGCAGCAGGAGGAAAAACCATACTCATTACAGTTGTCATTGGAATTTCTAATTTCAGCCATTCTGGCAGGAGTAAAATGGTATCTCAGAGTTGTTTTGATTTGCATTTGCCTGATAGCTAAGCATGTTGAGCACTTTCTTAAGTGTCTTTCCATCTTTTTTATTTCCTCTATTGAAAATTTTCTCTTTTTGTTGTATTTATTTTAGAATTATAAATTTTATTTATTTATTTATTTTATATAACCAAGTCCATTTAAATGAAAACAAACATTTATAGACAATATTGGGGAATTTGGGCGTCGTTCTTTCCAAACTACTTCCTGCTGGTAAGGGGCGCTGTCATGGGGGATTCGAAGAAGATGCAGAAATCCTGGCTGTAGTCTGTAAGGCTGCTTTGTCCAGCTGTTTTGAATGTAGGATCACCTGGTACTCTGTTTCAGGTGGTCTGGCTTGATCAAACCACATTAGTCTTGAAGGAATCCACATCTTTTCATTTTCTGTGGAAACAAAAATAGAAATCCTTTTCCCCAGTAACTTGTCCTTGAACTTAATTTTCTCTTCAGTTCTGTACCACATTTTTTTCATAGGGTTATTTGGTGTTTTGTTGACTAGTTTCTTGAGTTCTTTGTATATTTTGGAGATCAGCCCTCTGTCAGATGTAAGGTTGGTGAAGATCTCTTCCCAGTCTGTGGGCTGCTGTTTGGTCTTGTCAACTGTGTCCTTTGCCTTACAGAAGCCTCTCAGTTTGAGGAGGTCCCATTTATTAATTGTCAAACTCAGTGTCTGTGCTACTGGTGTTATGTTCAGGACTGGTCTCCTGTACCAATTTGTTCAAGGGTATCTCCCACTTTCTCTTCCAAGAGGTTCAGTTTGGCTGGATTTATGTTGCAGTCTTTGATCCATTTGGACTTGAGTTTTGTGCATGGCAATAGACATGGGTCTACCTGTAGTCTTCTATAAACCATCATCCAGTTGTGCCAGCACTATTTGTTGAAAATGCTTTCCTCCTTCCATTGTATACTTTTAGCTATTTTGTAAAAAATCAGGTGTTCATAGGTATGTGGGTTAATATCAGGATTTTTTATTCAATTCAATTGGTCTACCTGTCTATTTTTGTACCAATATCAAGCTGTTTTCAGGACTATAGCTCTATAGTAGAGCTTGAAGTCAGAGATGGGATTTTCATGGGGATTGCATTGAATCTATAGATTGCTTTATGGCAAGATTGCCATTTTTACCATGTTTATCCTATCCAAGAGCATGGGAAATCTTTCCATGTTCTGGTATCTTCTTTAATTTCTTTCTTTAAAAATACAAAGTTCTTGCTATATAGGTCTTTCACTTGTTTGGTAAGCGTTACTCCAAGATACTTTATGTTGATTGTGGCTATTGCAAAGGGTCATGTTCCTCTGATTTCTTTCTCAAGCCCCTTTGTCATTTTTATATAATAAGGCTACTAATTTTTTTAGTTAATCTTGAATCCTGCTAGTTTGTTGTTGGTGTTTATAATCTGTAGGAGTTGCCTGGTACAGTTTTCTAGTAATTTATGTAAACTACCATATCATCTGCAAATAGTTAAAGCTTGACTTCTTCCTTTCCAATGTGTATCCCCTTGAATTCTTTTTGATGTCTAATTGCTCTGGCTATTACTTTAAGTACAATATTGAAGAGATGTGGAGAAAAGGGGCAGCCTTGTCTTATTCCTGAATTTAGAGGAATCACATTGAGTTTTTCTCCATTTAGTTTTATTTTGGTTGTTGGCTTGCTGTATATTGTTTTTGTTATGTTTAGATGTGTTCCTGTTATCCCTGATCTCTCCAAGACCTTCATCATGAAAGGGTGTTAGATTTTGTGAAAGACTTTTTCAGCATCTAGTGAGATGTTCATATCGCTTTCCTTTTTTAGTTTGTTTATATGATGGACTTTCATATGTTGAGTCATACCTGCATCACCAGTATGAAGTCTATTTGGTCATGGTGGATGATTTCTCTGATATGTTGTTGGATTAGATTTGCCAGTATTTTATTGAGTATTTTTTTCACCAATGTTCATGCATGATATTGCTCTGTATTCTCCTTTTTAGTTGTGTCTTCATGTGGCTTTGGTACCAAGGTAATTGTAGGCTCGTCAAAAGAGTTTGCCAATGAATGAACCTTGTGCTTGTACTTTATCGAACACTTTGAGGAATATTGGTCTTAGCTGTTCTTTGAAAACCTGGTGGAATTCTGCACTGAAACCATCTGGCTCTGGGCTTTGGTTGTTGTTGTTCTTGTTGGGAGACTTTTGATGATTTCTTCTGTTTCATTGGGGGGGAGGTTAATGGTCCATTTAAATTGCTTATTTGGTCTTATTTGGTCTTGAATTTATTTTGGTAGGGATATCTATCCAGAAAGTTGTCCACTTCTGTTAACTTTTTGAATTTTGGGGAGTACAAGTTTTCAAAGTGTGACTTGAGGAGTCTCTGGATTTCCTCTGTGTCTATTGTTATGTCACCTTTTAATTTCTGATTTTGTTGATTTGCATGTTCTCTCTCTGCCTTTTGGTTAGTTTGGATAAAGGTTTGTCTGTTTTGTTGATTTTCCCAAATAAAACCAACTCTTTGTTATATTGATTCTTTGTATTGTTTTCCTAGTTTCTATCTTATTGATTGCAGCCCTCAAATTGATTATTTCCTGTCATCTAGTCATCCAGAGTGAGTTTGCTACTTTTTGTTCTAGAGCTTTCAATTGTGCTGTTAATTTTCTAATGTGACTGCTCCAGTTTCCTCATATGGGCAGTTAGTGCTATGAACTTTGCTCTTATTACTGCTCTCAAAGTGTCCCATAAGTTTGAGTATGTTGTGTCTTCATTCTAGGAAGTTTTTCATTTCTTTCTTATTTCTTCCTTTACCCAAGAGTGGTGCAATTATGCATTGTTCAGTTTCCATGAGTTTGTAGGTTTTCTGCAATTTGTGTTGTTGTTGAATTCTAACTTTAAAGATACAGGGGGTTATTCAAATTTTTTGTAACTATTGAGAATTACTATATTGCTGAGTTGTGGTTGATTTTAGAAAAGGTTCTGTGTGACACTGAGGAGAAGGTATATTCTTTTGTGTTTGCATGGATTGTTCTATAAATGTCTGTTAAGCCTAATTGGGTCATAATTTATGTTAGTTCCTTTGCTTCTTTGATAAGCTTCTGTCTGGTAGACCTGTCTAGTGTTGAGAGTAGGGTGTTGAAATTTCCCACTATGAGTGTGTGAGGTTTTGTGTGAGATTTGACATTTAGTAATTATTGTTTTACAAATATGGGTGCCTTTGTATTTTGGGCATAGTTGTTCAGAATTGAGACAACATCTTGATTGATTTCTCCTGTGATGATTCAGAAATTACTTTCTTCATCTCTTTTGATTGATTTTAGTTTAAAGTCTAATTTGTTAGATATAAGTATTGCTACACCTGCTTGTTTCTTGGGTCCATTTGATTGGAAAGTCTTTTCACAACCCTTAACTCTGAAGTTACATCTGTCTTTGAAGTTGAGGTGTGTTTCTTGTATGCACCAGAAGGGTGAACTCTCCCTTCATATCCATTCTTTTAGACTGTGTCTTTTTATAGGGGAGTCAAGACCATTAATATTTAGAAACATTAATGACCATTGATTAATTCTTGCTTGTTTTGAACTTGCTATTGGTGGTAGTATTTTGTGTGGATTTCCCCATTTTTTCTTTTGGCTGTTGGTAAACTAGGATTATTTATAGCCTATGTTTTTGTGGGTGTAATTAATTACCTTGGATTGGAGTTTTCCTTCCATAACTTTTTATAGGGCTGGATTAGTTGATGTGTATTGTCTCAATCTGGTTTTGTCATGAAATATCTTGGTTCCTCCATCAATAGTGACTGAAAGCTTTGCTGGGTATACCAGTCTGGGCTGGCATCTGTGATCTCTTAGTGTTGGCAGAATATCTATCCAAAACTTTCTGATCTTCAAAGTTTTCATGGATAAGTGAGGGGTAAGTCTGGTATGTTTGCCTTTATATGTTACTTGGCCTTTTTCCATTGCTGTTCTTAGTATTTTTCTTTATCTGTATGTTTGATGTTTTGATTATTATGTGGCAAGGGGACTTTCTTTTGTGGTCCACTCTATTTGGTGTCCTGTAAGCTTCTTGTACTTTTATTGGCATATCTTTCTTTAGGTTGGGAAAGTTTTCTTCTATTATTTTGTTGAATATATTTTCTGCACCTTTGAGTTGGGTTTCTTCACCTTCTTCTATACCTATCATTCTTAGGTTTGTCTTTTTCACGGTTTTGGATATTTTGTGTCAGGGATTTGTTGGACTTAAGATTTTCTTTGGTTGACTAATCTATTTCTCCTAGTGTATCTTCAACACCCAAGATTCTCTCTTCCATCTCTTGTATTCAGTTGGTTATACTTCCATCTGTAGTTCCTGATTGTTTGCCTAACTTTTCTATTTTCAGCATTCCCTCACATTCCCTCAGATTGTGTTTTGTTTTGTTGGTTTTTTTTTGTTTGCTTGTTTGTTTGTTTGTCTCTATGTCTGCTTTCAAACATTGCACTGTTTAAATTGTTTCTTGTAATTTTTGGTTTGTCATTTCCTCCATTTATTGAATTTTCTTCTATTCTTTTAAGGGATTTTCTCATTACCTCTTTGAGGGTCTCTATCATCATCATAAAATTGATTTGGGGTCGTTCTCTTCTGCTTCATCTGTGTTGGGATGTTCAGGTCTTGCTGGTGTGGAGTCCCTAGACTCTGGTGGCATCATATTGCTCTTTCTGTTGTTGACTGTATTCTTATACTGGCATCTACCCATCTCTTCTTCCAGTACATACTGTACTGGTGAAGTCTCTCCCTCTTCTGGTGGACACAGGTTCTCTTCTGGTGAGTGCAAGCAGTTCCAATACTCCAATAGCTCTCTTGCTCTATTGGGTAGTGGTGCCACTCCACCCTTGGTTGGAGGCTGAACCAGTATGGTGGCAGACGCCAGATGAGCCAGCCCACTAGGCCGGGCTCTGCCATAGGCAGTCCTCAGTCCTTAGAACCCTCAGAGAAGGACACCAGAAGGCAGACCCGAAACAGGCCCACACTTGCCCCCTCCACTGGTTGGAGGTGGGACCATGATGCTGGTAGCCTCTGGGTTGGCCAGGCCACATGAGCAGGCTCCCCTGCATGCAGTCCTGAGTCCTCAGGATGCTCCCTTTAATGTTATTCTAAGACCTATAGATCAGCCCTCTGTCAGATGTGAGGTTGGTGAAGATGTTTTCCCACTCTTTAGGCTGTCACTTTGTCTTATTGACAGTGTTATTTGCCCTATAAAAAAAAAAAAACCTCTTTCAGTTTCAGGAGGTCCAATTTATTATCATTGCTCTTTGTGTCTGTACTATAGGTGCTATATTTAGAAAGTAGTCTCCTGTGCTGATTTATTCAAGGCTAGCTACCTCCCACTTTCTCTTCTATGAGGTTCAGTTTACCTGGATTTATGTTGAGGTTTTTGATCCACTTTGACTTGAGTTATTGTGCATGGTGATTGATATGGATCTATTTTCAATCTTATACATGATGACATCTAGTTATCCTAGCACCATTTGTTGAAGATGCTTTTCTTTTATCATGTTCTTTTTGCTTATTTGTCAAAAATCAGATGTTCATAGGTGTGTAGGATTTATGACTATGGCTGTACAATAGAGCTTGAAGTCAGGAAAGGTGATGCCTCTGGAAGTTCTTTTATTGTACAGGATTGTTTCGGTTATCCCTGATTATTTTTTCCTTATCAAGTTGAGTATTGTTTTCTGAGGCCTGTGAAGAATTGTGTTGGTATTTTGATAGAGATTGAATTAAATCTGTATATTGCTTTTGATAAGATTGTCATTTTTATTATGTTGATCCTACCTATCCAAGAGCAAAGAATAAATTTTAATTGGGTCCAATTTCAGATTAATTTGCCACAGTGGTATTGGAAATTGCTAACCATTGAATACTCGGCGAGGGTTAGCTGTATTGTCACTTTGTAATTTTAAAAAGTGCATGTCCCTATGCAATTTATTTGGCACTTTTCAAAAACCAATAAACAGTAAACATACAGGTTTAATTATGGGAATCAATTTTGCTCAATTCATCATTATTTTTGTCCTTGCTAGTGGTCTAAGGTCCCAAGTTCTTCATCAATAAAACATTGTAGTAATATTTAAAACTCAGGATTATGAGTCCCTCTATTTTGCTGTTTACTTTTTCCAGACTGCTTGACCATTCTGGATGGTCTAAATTCCAGTGTGAGTTTTAAGATATGCTTGTCAGTTCTTTCAAAGTGGCTAATAGTGATTTGTACAGAGATTGTATTTAATTCATCAATATTATAGGATATGTACCATTTTTAAACATAGAGAAAAGTTTGACATGTATTGTCTGCCACCAATTTTGTGTACACTGTGATGGTATTTATTGCATCCACAAATACTATAAACTACCAATGCTCTAGTTTCAAAATCCTCTAGCACTTTACAATACAAACCATAGCCACTAAACCATCACTCCCATTACTCCATTTCTATTAGTAACTGTCAGTGTCAGTGTGATTTTGTTTATATAAATGTTCCTTTGTGTCTCTGAGAGAGTAAGTTAACATCTAAATCTTCTCATGGTTTTTGAAGCTTTTCCATCTTCTTAAACTTATGAAATCTTGTATGTTCCTTTCAATTCAGTTCCTTTCTGTATTCTCTTTCTGTTAAAGCAAACTTCATTTCCAAGCATGAAAACCACATTGTACATATTCATCATTCATGTATCTCTGCAGTATTACTACATCTGACTCTTCTGAGCTATTTATCTATGAACATCTGTGCATATGTTGCTTTGTGGCATGTTTCACTTTCTGTATGCACAACCCAATACTGGGTTTACTGATTAAACTATAATTTTATTTTTACTTTTGTGAGAATAGCTTAAATTTTCAGCAGACATATAGTATTTCATTGCTACAAGATCCTTTATTTTGCATTCTTAAGTTTTTTTATTTCATGTGTAGGGCGGTTTTGCCCACATGGGAATCTGTGCACATCTGGACCTCAAAGCTCTTTGGGTCTTGATCTGTGTGTCAATATCCCATTGCTTTCATACTGTAATCTGCAGCAGGCTTTCACATTTGCGAGGTTCAAATATTTCTCTACAGTTTCACTTACATTTTAGGATTTGCTTTCTTATTTGAACATTAGTACAAATAGAAATGATTCATCAGAATACTTTGAGGAGTATAAATGTCATCTTACCACTATTGTGTCTTCCAAGTGTTTTTACATGAGGTGATTTTGACTACCTTACATTAGTCTCTGAAACGTCACATTGGCTTCCATTACTCTTGTACAGTCCAGACTCTATGTTATCGGCAATATAAAATTTTGAAATTTTGTAGATTTGTTGTAATTGCATGTGCTAGTAAAAATTATCACATAATTCTGTCACAACATTCTTAGGAAAATGGCAATCAGGAACCGAAATACACACTTGAAAATCTGGCAGTAATTATAAACGATCTGTTTGGTGCTGGGACAGAGACCACAAGCACAACTCTGAGATATGCTCTCCTGCTCCTGCTGAAGCACCCCCATGTCGCAGGTGAGGACACAGGGGAGGACCCACAGTGGTCCTTTAAGGCAATGGGAAGATTCTCCCAGTGTCCCATGTCTTGTTATTCAACGCCTAATTATTCATTTTCAACACCTCAGTATTATTTTAACTTGTAAGGAGGAGGATGACTGAGAGAAATGAAAAGAGCATATCTTTAGGAAAAACCATGATACCCAGTCCTTTGTCTAAGTTTCCATGAGGCACCACTGGCATATTTTGGCCTGTTGTTTCTTTTTCCTGTACTCATTGACATCTGGTTTTTCATGTAAGCACATTCTTGCAGTTGCCTTTCTTCTTTCTAATAAATCCATTTTGACAAAACTCGCTTTATTGAAGCACAAGAAGTAATTCTGTGGGAGTGGAGGTGGGGGGCAGCTGTGAGGAGCAGAGGGAGGGAAAACTCTAATCAGGATTTATTATGTGAATAAAATCTAATTCCAATGAAAGAAAAATTTAAAAAAGAAAATTTAACTATTTGTTTTATAAAGTGCCTTAAGGATTTTAAGTTAATATTCGAATTTGAAGGATTTAATTAGTTAGTTGTTGAAAAATATGTGACAACTAATTATCCTTGTAATATTTATCTATAGTTAGATTAATATCTAATAAATATGTTAATCTATAAAAAAGGAGCCCTGATATTTTACATGTTTTCCTGATAAGTTTTGACCTGGAAATCATTCTAAATTGTTTAGTTCATTTGAAATGTATCTTTATTGATGCAGTAGTTATATATAGAATTTTATATACTTTCATAAAAGTTCTGTTGAACAGTTTTTAAACATATCTAAATGATTTTATTTTACAAATAACATTATTTTAGAAATTTATTTTTAAATCTAACCAGTTGATCACTATATGAGAAACACATCTTATGTCCTACATCCAATGCACACTGAAATGAAAATAACAAAAAGAACATAATTATGAAAAAGAATCAGTGTATTTAAAGTAGGAAAATAGACAACAGTAATAGCTAAGAAACATTTATCAAATTCCAGAAACAAAACAGTAATAAGGACTGAGGCAAAAAAGGAGCCTAGAAAAGAATGGTATAACATATATGTCTATAGATTTGTTATGAGACAAGAAAACAAACTGTGTCCCTACATTCCACAAAAGGATCCCTGTTTTGATCTAAGGAATCTAAGCATGAACCAGATAGAAACCAGAGACTGGTATAGCTGTAGTTCCCATATGCTGCAGCTTACGGTTTCAAATAAAGAAAACACTGAATTATTCTCAAAATAAACTGAGTACAAGAAGCCACATTTAGTGGATGGCAGAGAAAGAATAATATAGGAGGATGAAAGAGGAGAATGGGCAGTGCTGAGTCCCCGGATAGTCTCAGGGTTTTTCTCCACTGTATTTCACGAATGTCAACTGGATCTACCTCCAGACAATGACAAAGTGCAAAGATCTCTGTATTTTACCATTTCCATAGACAATTCTTCCCAAATACCCATCAGAAAGAATTAAATAAAATCATCATTGCAAGGCAAAGAGTCATGAAATGCTAAACACCAGGTCTAATGGAAGGAAAAACTCTTCAGGGAGATACCTGATTCACACTGAGACAAGAGAAGTTTATAGTGCCCTAAATATCGGTCAAATGCAGGAATAGACCTCCACACATACCAAAAATTTTACTTTTGCTTTCTTCATGAAATTCTGAAAGGTATTTTCCATCCTATTGTCTAACACAACATCACAGGGAGTAATGGATGTTAGAAATCTACACACCCTATGATAGATGGTGAATTTCAGATTGGTTTCTGGGAGTCAGATTTAGAAAGCCTATGTGGTTTAAATAAGGATCAGGATAAACAAATAGGCTGAATAGGTATTTATTCAGGGAGGAAAAACTTACAACATAGACAGCTGAGCGCCAGCAGGTTCCACAGGTGCTCTCCTGTCTCCATCCTGCCAGCCTCAGACCTAGTTCCCCAGGTCACTTCCGCCACTGTCTCCACCCCCAATGGGCGTGGCCAGTGCCACAGATGCAGACAAAGTGAGTTATCTCACTACAAATGCCCTCAATTCTGTTTTTGCCCTATGGATGCTACAGGCATGAACAGCAAATGAGGGACAAAAGAGAAGTAATGTATGGTCTGATTCGCACACTAACTGAGCTTTTATTCCTGGAGTAGAAGCATCACATTAAAAACTACTTAAAATGTTAACTCACATAGGGTAAATTACAAGCTAAAAAGAAAAGGCATGCATCAGCCACAAAGGATGTCAACAATAAAAACTTCTCTAATTTTTGTAATACACTATATATATATGTAAATACAATTACTCAAACAATAAATATTTGCTTAACTAAGTATTATAACTCAAGATCAAGGGCAAATGGCAGGTCCATGTGTGTACAGTTGTTTGTGTGTGTACTTATTCATATAAGTGTATATTTCATTATCTATAGCTTTATAGCTATGCATTTATATACAGGATGTAGTTATAACATATTTTCATTTCTGATAACAAACTCAATAGATTTTGCATATACTTGAGTATATTAGGAGCAATTATATAAAGTATGAATATATTTCTTTTTTTCTTTCTTTTTTTCTTTTTTTTTTTATTTTATATAACCAAGTCCATTTAAATGAACACAAACATTTATAGACAATATTTGGGATGAATATGTTTCACAAGTAGTTGGCTGGTGTCAAACCTGACCACTGTTAGATAATGGAAACATAGCTGGATTATCATTTAAAATTACACACACATACACATTTAATAATTGTTTGTGATGTCTTTTATTAATAACAATTATACCTGGTTAATTGTACTATGTTTTGTTGGTTGAAATGTTTAATTAGTTTACATATCATTACGCCCATAAATAATTAGTGCATGATAATGAATCATAGTATTCATCCCATATGATAGATATAAAAATTTATGTAATAAAATTATGTTTATCTAAGTTTATTCCTGAGCAAGAAACATACATTTATAATTCTGCATAGATACATTCATGTTCTGTGTAGTATTACAATATTGTGACAAACATCACTTTTTCCTGAACCCATGTAAAAATGCCTGTTGTGGTGGTGTATGCCTGTAATCTTGGCTCTAGAGAGACGGAGACTATAGAGCTGAAGGTTGCACCAGGCAGAGGGACTCCCCTAAATGGTCAGCTGCAGATCAACCCTGATACCCTGTGAGGACCAAAGAGAATGACTCCTGAGATTTTCATCCTGCCTCCTCATGCAATGTACTCCTGTGCACATGTGTCTGCATGTTTGTTACATACACATGTGAACACACCCGTACATACTTTTACATACAAAATAACAGCTATATGAGAGTGGAATGAATGCATATCTTAGCATTCTATATACCTAAAACGTACCCACCAGAGGTTCTTTCAACATTTACACTCTTAATGCTGGACACCTTGGTTGTGCACTGTGCGGCCCTGACTTATTGTGACAAACATGGAATTTTTTTTCCTATTCCATCATTTCTTACTGTATATAACTAGCTAAAGTCCAGGAAGAGATTCATCATGTAATTGGCAAAGAGCGAAGCCCCTGCATGCAGGACAGGAGCCACATGCCCTACACGAATGCCATGATTCATGAGGTCCAGAGGTTTATTGATATTGTTCCTAACAACCTGCCCCATGCAGTGACCTGTGATGTTAAATTCAGGAACTACCTCATCCCCAAGGTAAGTGTATCTCGTCTCTGCTGCACCTCCCTCTGCTCTCTTGAAGCTCCCCGTTCACAGTGTGGCTCCAGTCTACGAGTCACACTGTGCCACTGCCGGCTCACGCTGTTTCTTGGTTTTAAGAGCCACTCTGCAGTAGGCAGGGACATAGGAATGAGGCTCCCACATTTACTCAGACTTCCAAATTTTGCTTTGACAAAGCTGAGGCATATGCACTTCCAAGTGTATTTTCCAATTTATTGTTAATAAACACTTTTGAAACTTTGGTTGAGAGAAAAATCTCCAAATAATCGGAGTTTATACCCTGAATTCTTTAACTCATCAAAAAGCTATATCATTTGTTAGTTTATGCTTTCTTCATTTTCCCCGTAAGTATTTCTTTTCAATGATGTGGCTTGTAAATATTTTCTTAGAAATGTACTAAATAATGAATATTATCTGATTATCATTTTTAAGAAACTACACTTACCATTGACCTGGTTTATATAAACAGTTCATTCAATCATGGTGATCTTCTTGTTCACAATCTTATGGATTCTACTAATTACAGGTAATGGTTTATCTGTAACTGTATGTGATGGGATTTCAAGATGTCTCCTGGTTAACATTTTTATCTATATTTTTATATTCCTGTCTTTTGTTTCAGTTTCTTATCATTGAACTGACTCACGAATTCCAGATAGTATTAAGCAGAATCATTTTTTTTTATTTTATGCTCACTAAAATTGAAAGTTTGCAAAAGAAGATCAGGGACTGGGAATGTGAGAGCATTCAGAGACTAGAAGAGTGCAGAAACCGAAATCAGTGAATCAGGGTATGGATTCATGAAAATTTCCAAGAGAACAGATGACTGAATTAAAAGGTCCAACTAATGTGCATACTCATTTTATTTCTTACTAGTGTAATTTCAATTATTCCCTGTCAAGTCTGATGTCTTTAGAAAATTTGAAAAATGTTTTAATTAGATTAAGATGTGCCAAAAGACCCTCGTGAGATGTGATTTGTCATTCTCATTGCTCAGGTCTATGAATAGTATAACAATGCTTAATTTAAGTCCTTATAACTAAATGGTAAATAGAATGAAGTATGAGACAGGAATGACATATGTCCCAGACTCCCTCACTGTGATTACAGTCTTGCTTGCGGAAAGAACCGCAACTACTTAAAGCTCATAATCCTGTATCTCGTGGTTGGTGGCTCATGATGTAACTGTTTACTTTGGATCTTGAGAACTAGAATAGTATTTCTTCCCTTGCGGGAACTTCCAGGCACAGAAATAATGATGACTCTGCGACTGATTTTACTCTCTTAGAAATCTTGCTAGACCTTCTTTCCCAGATGAGACCTCTGATTTCGGTACAGATAATTGGCTAAGATAAGAGTCAGATCTTTGCACTTGGCTTGGTGGACAAATACTTCACAGTTTCTAGTCCATGAAGATTGTGTCACCACTTCTGAACTCTGCCACTGTAGTAAGAAGCAGCCAAGAGTAGCCCCAAAGAGAGTCCATAATCAGCGGCGTAGCAGAAACCAGTCCTCAAGCACAATCAATGACTCATGGCAATGAACACTTGCAAAGAAAGATGAATGAAATGGACTAAAGAGGAAAATGTGTGACTCACTGGGCCACACTACAACTTCCACAACAAGATTCTTCTTCTTTTGTTTTGCTTTTTATTTTAAATTTGGTTTTGATTTGGGGGGATGTTGAAAGGGCAGAGGACATATGTAAGGGGACAGAGAGAAAAGGAAGATCAGACTGCATGATATGAAATCAACAAAAATCAATAACAATTTAGAAGGAGAGAAAATTGTGAATGATTTGGAGTCACTGTATTAATTAAAGAAATCATGGAATCACCAGCATAAACTATTTACACACATATCCAGAACCAATTTTTATTTAGCTGTTACAGGAAGAACATGACCATTATAACATACTTAATAGCTCTCCCCCTTTCTGTCCCATTTCATTAGTACCCACCACTCCACAAATAGTCTCCCTTTTGCTTTTGTTGTGTGTGTGTGTGCATGTGAGTGTATGTGTATATGTTTATAGACATAAATTCTATATCTGAGAGTAGGCCCCTTTTTACACAATACATAATATCTACATCTGTTGTGAATCACATGTAAATGAGAGAAAACCACCATATTAGAGTCTTTAGACCTTGTTTGTATACTTTCATGAGTCATTTCCTGTTTTACTGACATATAATACTGCACTTCATTTGCAATCATAGTCCATGTGACCTGTGAAAAACTTGTGATGAATTACAGCAGCAGGTGGTAAGACACGCATGTCCAAACCTGAGGAAAAGTAGAGCAGACTTGGAAGCATTAACACCAAACCTCCACGTTCTGACTTCAAATATCATTGAAAATGTGTTAGCTACATCACTGTGAATGGGTCTCAGACTACTCCCTGCTCCTTACATGCTGAAATGTTCCTGCTGTTCTTTCCACTTAACTGTCTATGGATTGGAAGGTGAAGTAGACTGTTTTCCTTATTTATTTAGGTTCATGATTTCCTTATATCATTCTCTGTTGTTATAGGGAACAACAGTTATAACATCACTGACATCAGTGCTGCATGACAGCAAGGAATTTCCCAACCCAGAGGTGTTTGACCCTGGCCACTTCCTAGATGAGAATGGAAACTTTAAGAAAAGTGACTACTTCATGCCATTTTCATTAGGTGAGAGACATTCATTTCCATGGATCCAATGACATGAGGATCTCTATGAACTTATACAATGACTCCCATGGATACAATTTCTTTTAATATCAGGGGTATAACTTCCTTGATGATGAGACTGCTGTATTAAGATCAAATTTTGAACTCTGAGGTGAAGGATTGTATGGAGATATCCCACTTAGAGCTTAGTGTTCCTCTCTCTCTCTCTCTCTATTGTCTAGTTATGGTTCTCTGTGTTTTTTTCTCTCTGCTGATATAGGAAGCTTCTATGATGATTGCTGAATAAGGCACTGATCTATGAGTATAGTAGAATATCATTAGGAATCATTTTTAAAGATGAGTAGTACTTGATTTAAAGTACTTGGGCTATCTTGTTCCTGGTTCTTGGTCACCCAAACAGTGTCAGATATATGTTTTATCTTGTAGAGTGGGTCTTAAGTCAAATCGGATATTGGTTAGTTACTCCTAAGATTTGTGTCATCATTACCCTGGCATATTTTTTCAGGGAGGACAGCATTGTAGATTAAAAGCTTTGTGGGTAAGCTGGTGTATACATTTCTCCCTTGCTAGCCTGTAGAGTATATTCTTGTACCAAAGACAATAGAACAGAGAGGTGAAGGTTATATATAGGTATCGACCTATCTGTGTTCAATGAGTTGTGTGGGTGTTGTCTTCATTGGTTGGGCCTTGGCATTAGTCTGTGGAGTGAAGCCTATTGTCTTGGCAACAGCCTGGGTTGTTTGGAGCTCTTCATCGGACTTCTTCAGCCAACAACTCAATTTGACGTAGCCCAGTCCTGGTACTGCGACCTTCATGTTATATGTTTTAGGAAGTTTCCACTGACTGGATTTGTATATTGCCCCACAAATGCTCCGTGATTCTAGCAATCTTTGTGATCCTTCCCCTTTCCCATCTGATCCTTCTGTTTGAGTCTCCCTGTTTCCAGTACACCCATAAAAATCTATTATATTTTCCCTCCCAGGAAGATCAATGGGCACCCCACTAGTATTTTTCTCTAGATCTAATCTCTCTTGGTGTATGTATTATACCTTGCCTTGGTTATCATTTACTTACTGGGTAATATATACTTAGAATGAATAGAGACCATATTTATCTTTCTGGGTCTGAGTTATCATACTCAGAATTATTTGTTCTAATTCCATCCATTCGCAAATTTCTTGATGTTGTTTTGTTATTAACATCTGAGTAACACCCCACTGTGTAATTGTAGCACATTTTTCCTTATAAATTCTCTTGTCAAGAGACATCTAGGGTTTTTTGTTTGTTTTTTTCAATTCTTGGCTATTGTGAATAGAGCAGCAAAAACATATTTGAGTAAGTATCTTTGTGGTAAGGTATAGGGCCTTTTGGGTGTATGTTCAGGAGTGGTGTCTTAGGATTACTAATGATGTGATGAAACATCATGTCCAAAAGGAAGTTGTAGATAAAGAGGTTTATTTGGCATAGTTCTGCATTATAGGCCCAGGAGGGGTATTAGGTATTGACTTTCTTTCTCAACATTGCTCAGCCTGCTTTAGTGCAGAAGCCAGAGCTTCCACCTCATAGGTAACACCAACCATACTGGTCTGGGCCCTCTGCTATCAACAACTAATTAAGAATGTCCCACAGACTTGCCTATAGCCAGATCTTATAGGAGCATTTTTTAAAACAAGATTCTCTCTTCTCATATGATTTTAGCAAATGTCAAGTTGACATAAAACTATTCATCACAAGTGGTATATGTAGCTGGATCTTGAAGGAGGTCAATTCTTGTCTTTCTGGGGAACTGCCACACTGGTTTCCATAGTATGTAATTGGCTTTTATTCTCTCTCTCTCTTAGGGGATCTGTCACCTAGCTGCCAGATTTATTCTTATGTAACAGGGATTCTGCTTGATCAAGCCATGTTAGTCTAAAAGGAACCCACAACTGTAACGAGTACTGTTTTTTCATCCCGCCGCCTGGTCTTGTCCTGCCGCCGCGCCAGCCCCAAATAACCCCAAATTGTGTTTGATACAATGCTGTTGGCCCTGTTACTTGTTTCTTATCGGCTAGCTCTGCCTTAATTATTAACCCATTTCTGTTGATCTATGTATTTCTCTTACCGGGGAGCCGGCGGAATACTGCTTTCTTCAGACTCTCCATCTTGGCTCCTCCTTACTACTTCCTCTTTCCTCCTTGTCTCCTAGTCCCTCCTATCCTCCTTTCCTATTGGCCAACAGTGCTTTATTATTAACCAGTATGAGAAACATATATACATAATGGCATCTCCCATCACACAACTTTTTATTATTTTCTGTGGAAACAAAAATAGAAATCCTGTTATCCAGTAACCTGTCCTTGAACTTGAATTTTGAAGTCAAAGCATTTTTAAAATATATAAACTAAATTAATCCAGCAGTACTTCTTTTAACAGTTGTTGTTATTTCCTCAGCAGTCAAACAATTTAAAGACAATACAGTATCCAAACTCTTTTTGTGCTTTCCATCTTTACATGGCTTTTTATTATTCTATTTTTTCAACTTTTTTTTCATTTTTTTTTTTTTTTGAGACAGGGTTTCTCTGTGTAACTTTTATCTGTCTTGGAATTAACTCTGTACACCAGGTTTACTTTGAAATCACAGAGATCTGCTTGCCTCCCGAGTGCTGGGATTAAAGGCATGTGCCACCACACTCAGCTCTTCTCTTTTTCTTTATTATTTTTTTAAACCATTTTATCCTGTTTCTTTTTCTCTCCTACATATATTTTAAAACACACTGTAAACATTTAGTAGGTTTTTTTTTTTTAAATCTGAATCTGTCTTTACTGTAAATCTTTATCTTTTTCTGGCCATAAGTCTTTTATCTGGTAAACAACAACATTGGACCAATGAAACCCATAGATGTATTAGCCACGGTCTATCCAAGATGGCATCGGGTACTTTTACCGCCAGAACTGAGAGCTGTGTTCACTGACTTGGTCTACGCTACCATCCAGCAGCATGCTGCCGGCTTGGAGATGTGGTCACGCCATTGCCAACTCTCGTACACACCAATTAATTGTTAGTAGCGTTTCTTAAAAGCCCTGTGGTTTTTTGCCCCTTATGCTGAGTCAGGAAACTTCCCTTAAAGGAGCCGCGCAAGTCTCTGCTTGTCTCAAGCAAAACAGAGTCCAACTGAAAAAATTGCTGCTACCAAGAAGCCTTGCTTGTCTCTGTTCTTTTGTTTCTAAACCCCTTTTATTTATTTATTTATTTATTTGTTTATTTATTTATTTTTATTTAATTTTATATAACAAAGTCCAATTAAATGAAAACAAACATTTATACACAATATTTGGGAATTTGGGCGTCGTTCTCTCCAAACTACTTCCTGCTGGTAAGGGGCGCTGTCTTGGGGGATTCGAAGAAGATTCAGATATCCTAGCTGTAGTCTGTAGGGCTGTTTTGTCCAGTTGTTTGGAATGTAGGATCAGCTTGTACTCTGTTTCAGGCGGTCTGGTGTGATCAAACCACATTAGTCTGGAAGGAATCCACATCTTTTCATTTTCTGTGGAAACAAAAATAGAAATACTTTTCCCCAGTAACTTGTCCTTCAACTTAAATTTTGGAGTCAAAGCGTTTCTAAACCCCTTTCTTAAGCTGTTGTTAAGTTTTATGTGGAGGCTCTTATTAGCCATGTTGCGATGCCATATTGTTAAGAGTATGTTTTTCTACCAGCCTGGTCCCACAGCCGCACCAGCTCCAAATAACACACAGAAATGCTGTATTAGATATAAAGCTATTAGCCAGTTACTAGTATTTCTTATTGGCTAGCTCTGTCTTAAATATTAACCCATTCTATCAATCTAAGAATTTCCACATGGTCTTATCTTACCAGAGAGAGAGCCCAGAGTTCTACCCTCTTGGTATTACATATTGAAACTCCTCTCTATTCCTTCCTATCTCCTCCTACTCTCCTAGTCCTGCCTATCTTGATTTCCTATTAGCCAACAGTGCTTTACTTATTAACCAATACAAGAAACATATTCACAGAATGACATCTCCCATCATCTCCTCTTTTCTGTCTAAATAAAAATAAGGGTTTTAACCTTAACATAGCAAAATATATAACAAAACAGTTATCAAATAAGAACCACAGTTAATATTTAGTTCATTAACATTTAGCAAAATTTATAGAAGATATTCCATTCTATCTTTGTGAGTCTAAAGTCCTATATGTAACTTATCTTTAATCTTAACTAAGAAAACTATAACTGTAACTATCTGTCTTCAACTCCATCAAAGACCACAGAAGGATAATATATAAACTCTAGAAATGACAGAGACAGTTCACTGCCTGGCCAGTCACCTGAAGTTCTTCTGTAAGATTCCATCTTCAGCCTACAGGCCATAGTGTGTGTCTGGCAGACTCCTCAGCAAAGCAGGAAACTTTAAAGTGTTCCACCTGTGTTGGCAGTTTTTCAGTTACCTTTCCCTGTGTCTTGCAGAATGTCTGGTAGACTCTTTCATGAAGCAGGAACCCTGTAGCAATGTCCATCATGTATCAGCAGTCACTTTCCTGTGGGTTCTGCATGTCCAGTTTATACAGCATAAAGTCAAACAGTCCAGGCAAGAGTAGTTTCTTGCCCAAATGGCAAGTTTTGCCATATTTGAAGTAAACTCTATAAGGAGTTTCTTTGATGTCCATCTTCCTTTCTTCAGTGATTTTGTTGAATATGTTTTCTGTGCCTTTGAGCTGCACTTCTTCACTTCTTCTATCCCTAATATTCTTAGATTTGGCTTTTCAGATTTCCTGAATGTTTTATGTTGAGAATTTATTGAGTTTAATGTTTATTTTCACCAATGAATCTATTTCCTCTTTCATCTCTTCAATGCCTGCTGTTTTCTGTTGGTTATGCTTGCTTCTGTAGTTTTTGATCATTTACCCAGATTTTACATTTCCAGCATTCCTCATCTTGTGATTTTTTTTTATTACCTCTATTTCAGTTTTCAAGTCTTACACTGTTTTCTTCACCTGTTTGATTATTTTTTCTTGACTTTCTTTAAGGAATTTGTTAATTACTTCCAATTTTTTGTTAGTCTTTTCCTCCATTTCTCTTTTTTTTTACAGTAATATTTTTATTTAAATTTGAAACAAGCTTGTTTTACATGTCAATCCCAGTTCCCTCACTCTTCCCTCCTCCCCTGAACATCCAACCTCTATCCCATCCCTTTTAGCTCCTCAGAGAGGATAAGGCCTGACATGGGGGATCTTCAAAGTCTGTCATCATTTGGAGCATGGCCTAGGCCCTCCCCCCATGTGTCTAGGCTGAGAGAGTATCCCTCTATGTAGAATGGGCTCCCAAAGTCCATTCCTCTACTAGGGATAAATACTGATCCACTACCAGAGGCCCTATAGACTGCCCAGTCCTCCTAACTAACACCCGCATTCAGGGGATCTGGATTGGTCCTATGCTGATTTCCCAGCTATCAGACTGGAGTCCATATGCTCCCATTTGGTCAGGTCAGCTGTTTCTGTGGGTTTCTCCAGCCTGGTCTTGACTCCTTTTCTCATCACTCCTCCCTCTCTGCAACTGGATTCCAGGAGTTCAGTTCAGTGTTTAGCTGTGGGTGTCTGCTTCTGCTTCCATCAACTACTAGATGAAGTCTCTAGGATAGCATATAAGGTAGTCATCAATCTCGTTATTGGGGAAGGGCATTTAAGGTAGCCTCTCCACTACTGCTTATATTGTTAGTTGGGAGTCCTTGTAGATCTCTGGACATTTCCCTAGTGCCAGATTTCTCTTTAAACCTATAATGGCTCCCTCTATTGTGGTATCTCTTTTCTTGCTGTCGTCTATTCTTCCCCTGACTCAAACTTCCCCCCCACATCCTCCTCTCCCTCCTCTTCTCCCCTTCTCTTTCTCCTAACTCCCTCTCCCATCCCCCCAAGCTCCCAATTTGCTCAGGAGATCTTGTCCCTTTTCCCTTCTCAGGGGGATCATGTATGTCTCTCGTTTCCTAGATTTTCTGGCAGTATGGATTGTAGGCTGGTGATCCTTTGCTTTATGTCTAAAATCCATATATGAGTGAGTGTGTACCATGTTTGTCTTTTGTGACTGGGTTACCTCACTCAGGATGGTTTCTTCTAGTTCCATCCATTTGCCTTTGAATTTGAAGATTTCATTGTTTTTTTTTTCCTCTGAGTAGTACTCATTGTGTAAATGTACCACATTTTCTCCATCCATTCTTCAGTTAAAAAACACAATCTGGGGAAATGCTGGAAATAGAAAAGCTGGGTAAATGATCACGAACTGCAGATGCAAGCATAACCAACAGAATACAAGAGATGGAAGAAGTGTTGAAGATACACTAGGAGAAGTAGATTCATTGACCAAAGAAAATCTTAGGTCAAAACCAAAAAATCCCTAACACAAAATATGCAGGAAATATGACACCGTGAAAAGGCCAAACCTAAGAATAATAGGTATAAAAGAAGGTGAAGAAACCCAACTCAAAGGTGCAGGAAATATATTCAACAAAATCATAGAAGAAAACTTTCCTCTACTTCTTTAAGGGAATTTTTAATTTCCTCTTTTAGGTCCTCTATCATCTTCATAAAGTTATTTTAAGTTGTTTTCTACTGCTTAATCTGCATTGGGATATTCAGGTCTTGCTATTGTATAACCTCTGGCTTCTGGTGGTGTTGTGTTGCTCTTTATGTTGTGGAGTGTTTTCTTACACTGTTGTCTACCCATCTCTTCCTCTAATTGGTGCAGGTATGGCCTGTGGCTCTGGTGATTGCTCCTCCAGGTGCAGACAGGGTCTTGGCTCTGGTGGTTGCTGATGTGGTGGGGGATTGTTGGGGTGGGGCCTGGATTGAGACACTGATGGCTATGACCTAGAGAGTAGTGCCTTTCATCTGGGATACTTACCTCCTCACCTCCTCCTTATGCAGACAGACCCTCAGCTCTGGTGGTCACTTGTAACATGTATAATAAAAACCCAGAGACAGATATTGGGGTTCAAGCTGAAGACCAGAAAAGTAAAACAGTCAAGCCACCAGGAAGCTGTTAACTCTACCAAGGCTTGGGTGATCCAGTCCTCAACCTGACTGGAGACTAATTGCCTCAACATGGCTGGAGACTAGTTGACTCAAGACCAAATGTTAGGTCCGAGACCCTGCTCCTGTCTTATATATCTCTCTAGTGCTGGTATTAAAGGCTTGCACCACCACTGCCCAACTTTCATGGCTAACTAGTATGACTGCTGGGATTAAAGGTGTGTACCACCACTGTCTGGCCTCTATGGCTGTAGCTAGCTTTGCATTCTCATCTCCAGGCAACCTTTATCACCACAGTTACTGTTATGGTGGGGGTGGTTTGGACTATAGAGAGATTCTTTCCAAGTCTCTGGGGCTTCATTGGTTGGGAGTAGGGCTCAAGATGAACCATTAGGTGCTAGGGCCTAGAGAGCAGGGCCTGGAACCCAAATATTCACCTGCAGGGAGACAATCCTCCACCAGAACATAGCTTCAAGTATAGCTTGACTTCCTGAGAAGTAGGATACCTTTCTCCTTCATAGCTGTAGGTATAGCCTGTCTTCCTGACAAGTCAGGATATGATTCCCTCCTGAGATATATGTGCCCATAATATCTCCCTTCACAATTGTAGGTATAGCTTGAATTCCCAACAAGTCAAGATACCTTTCCCCCTGGAGCTGCAACACTTGCAAAGCCTACTTGATCATGATGGATGATCTTTATGTGGTCTTGGATTCTGTTTGCAAGTATTTGATTGATTGCTTTTGGATCTATGTTCATAAGGGAGACTGAACTATAATTCTTTTTCTTTGTTGAGTCTTTATGTGGTTTTGGTCTAACTGTGGCTTCATAAAATGAATTGGGCAATGTTCCTTCTAATTTCTGTTTTGTGAAATATTATGCGGTGTATTGGTGTTAACTCTTCTATAAAAGTCTGATAGAATTCTGCACTAAATCATCAGGACTTGACCTTTTTTGGTTGGGAGACTTTTAATGACTGCTTTCATTTCACGAGGTGGGGTGTGTGTGTGTGTGTGTGTGTGTGTGTGTGCGTGTGCGTGTGCGTGTGCGTGTGCGTGTGTGTGTGTGTGTGTGTGTGTGTGTGTGTGTGTGTTTAAATTGCTTATCTGTTCTTAATTTAACTTTGGTAAGTGGTACCTATTAAAATGTTGCTTTTTTCTCCAGTTTGGTGTACCTCAGGTTTTTAAATTATGCCCTTGTAATTCTCTGGATTTTTTCAGTATCTGTCATTATGTCCTCCTTTCATTTCTAATTTTGTCAATTTGGATATTCCTTCTCTGGTTTGTTTTTTATTTATTTGGATAAGGATTTGTCAATCTTACTGGTTTTCTCAAAGAACTATTTATTAGTTTCATAGAAATTTTTTGTATTTTTTGTTTCTATCTTATGGATTTCATACCTGATTTTTAATCTTTTTTGCCATCTACTCCTTTTGGGTTGAATTTTTTGTGTTATGGAACTTTCAGGTGTGCTGTTAGCATCCTAGTATGAGATCACTCTGATTTATTTATGTAAACACTTAATGCTATGAACCTGACTCTTAGAAGCCCTTCCATTATGTTCCTTAAGTTTGGGTCTCATGTGAATTCATTTTTGTTGAATTCTCACATGTAGTATGTGTGCAGAATCTGTTGACATGGATGATCATACACTAAATATTTTGATAACAAACTCATAATCCTCATTCTTCCGTCTCACAGATGTTCTGATGACAGATGTGAGCAATCAAGCTGATAAGGATTTTTGTTTTATTCATTTCGTAAGATCTTATGTAACTCAGATGTTATCCACTGTTGTCTATTTGCTTAACTAATTATCCCCTCACTCACCCATACATTTAACTACCATCCAGTAACTCAGCAGTTCCTCTTAGCTCTGTTGTTTGGGTTACAAACACAAGGCCTCTCACACTCACTTATGTACAAGTCATGGTTACCTTCTTTGTCTCTTTTTCCCCACAGGAAAACGGGTATGTGTAGGAGAGGGCCTGGCTCAATTGGAGCTGTTTCTATTCCTGACCACCATTTTACAGAAGTTCAAGCTGAAATCTCTGGTTCACCCGAAGGACATCAATACAACCCCAATGAACAAAGGTTTTACTTCCATTCCTCCACCTTTCCAGCTCTGCTTCATTCCCATCTAAAGATCAGATGCCTGGATCATGCTGTATTCCTTTCTGAAATCACACCAAAACCTACATTTACCACTTTCCCTCCTTGGACACTTTGTCCTTCCCCCTTCTCATGGCTTGTGATTTCTCATTGCCCAGGGACATAAACTGGCAGTCTGTGAAGTCAATGCACAAATATAACTGCTTTTCTGTGTTCTCTATACCACTCTTGATATTCCTTGCACTCACATGACTCTAAACCTAAAATATTAACGTGGCTTCAGTGTAAACCAGATAAATTCCTACCATGTAAAATGGATAAATAATAATTCACAGTCATGTGTGTTTTTGCATGCCTTGATAAAAAATTTCAGTTTGTATTCCTGTTCTAATCAGATTATCCTTCAAGTCCCATAAGGGATGTGCGGGGGTCTGGCCTCAACCCACTTTTAGGTCCTGAGATGGGGAAGGAAAAATTTGACCACCAGGTGGATTACACTAAAGTGGCCCAAAATAGCTTGGCCATCTTTACTTATACTTAGAGTTTCTTGCCAGGGTTTCATGAACAGCTTTAATAATGGCTCCTATTTTTGACTTTAAGAAATATAACATATTTTAAAGACAATATCATGATCCTTACAAAAGCTTCTATTGTTCCCCTCCTTTATACTTCCCCAAATACACTATCCTACTCCCAACATAACCTTATTCTAAACACAGAACTCAGAATAGTTGCAGGCTTAACTAAATATCTGGTCAAACATATCCTGCTCTCATAACACTTATGTAAGCTGCTGGCTACTTGTGGTTACAAAGTTAAGAGGTAGATCCCGCTGGCCAGCCCGCAGCTCCTGGTGAGCATTGGGCCAGGGTGAAGGTCCAACAACCCCCCCCCACCTCCATGGAACTTCCTGGGTCTGCTTTGAGAACACTGAGACCACACCCACCTGACCTTTGAACCCCATCACCAGCCCTCTGCAAGAGGGCAGACCTCCAGGAGAGCTTGGATCATCCAGAGTTGAAGACTCTGAACTCCTGACCCACCAACACCCACTGGGAAAGCAGAGAGAGAGAGAGAGAGAGAGAGAGAGAGAGAGAGAGAGACTCCACCTGCACCCACTGGAAGAAGTGATGGGAACATGGCAAAACAAAAAAACACCCAACAAAAGAAAGACCAGTATGGTACCACCAGAATCTACAGACTCTACAACTACGAGAACTGAACACACCAAAGCAGAGGAAGCAGAAGAGAACAACTTAAAAATTAACTTCATAAAATTGTTAGAGGGCCTCAAAGACAATATGAGAAAATCCTTTTAAAAAATTGGTAGAAATAGAGGGAAAAATCAAGCCAAAAAATGCAAGAAATTAACAAATCTCTTTAAAAAAAAAAAAAAAAAGGAGGAGTCAACATGGAGAGACAGGAGAGAACAGAGGTCCGGGCCCTCTCTCTGGTAAGATAAGAAAAACATGGAAGTGCTTAGATTAATAGAAATGAGTTAATAATTAAGACAGAGCTAGCCGATAAGAAACTAGTAGTTGGCCAATAGCATTATATCTTAAAGAAAGAAAAAAAAAGAAGAAGAAGTTCTAAGCCACTTTAGATGATATGAAATGAACAGGTTCTATGTTCCAAAGATCGATTAGTTGTTTGATAACACAGGTGAATCTTGGACAGTCTGGAAAAAGTAATCTTTCTTGAGTATTTTACTATTACTGTAAAAATACTGGACAGTTAAAAGGGAAATAATTTTCTTTAAGTGGGTGAACACCTCACTTTGTCATGGTCCTTCTTAATGTCCTAGCTGTCACCAGATTTAGACAGCTGAGGTGGTAACAGAGCAGGAAGCCTGAGATCAGAGCCTTGCCTCTGTATACTTGACATTCGGTACTTAGTGGCTAAATATTTTGAATATATTCTAAGCAGAACTCAGAAAACTACTTGAGAGATGTAAATGAGTAAAGGGGTGATGAAGGCTCAATTTTAAATTTAAAATATACTTTAATCGATAGTGCTGTGGGGAAAATTTAAATTTACAATGATTTATGTGAATTATTTGAAACACTTAAATACATCTAATGAGAATTTTCATTAAATACATTTGATATCATTACTGTCACACTTGAAAAAAATAAAAATAAAAACATTGGAAGAAAAATCAAACAAAAAATTGGAAGAAATAGAGGGAAAAAAAAACAAGCGAATAAATGCAAGAAATTAACAAATATCTTTTTTTAAAAAAAAAAGTAAGGGAAGCCAAGAAAAGACAAATACATGAAGGAAACAGTTCAAGACTTAAAAACAGAAATAGAAAATAATAAAGAAAACACAAACTAAGAGAATGATGGGAATAGAAAAACTGAGCAAATGATAAGGAGTTACAGATACAAGCATAACCAACAAAATACAAGAGATCAAAGAAAGAATCTCAGGTTCTGAAGATAAACTAGAGGAAATAGATTCATCTACCAAAGAAAATCTTAAATCCAACAAATCCTTAACACAACACATCCAGGAAATGAGAGACACCATGAAAAGGCCAAACCTAAGAATAATAGGCGTAGAAGAAGGTAAAGAAGCTCAGCTCAAAGGTTAGAAAACATATTCAACAAAATCATTGAAACAAACTTTCCCAATCTAAAGAAGGACATGCCCATGAAAGTACAAGAAGCATACCCAACACCAAATAGACTAGATTAAAAAAAAGAGGGTCCCCTCACCACATAATAATCAAGACACCTAACATGCAGAATGAAGAAAGAATATTAAGGGCAGTGAAGGAAAAAGGCCAGGTAACATATAAAGGCAGAGCTATCAAAATTACACCAGACTTCTCCATGTAAATTCTCAAGGCCAAAAGGTCCTAGATAGATGTTCTACAAATACTATGAACCAAAAAATGCCAGCCCAGGATACTATATCCAGAAAAACCCTCAATCATTATAGATGGAGAAAACAAGACGTTTAATGACAAAGCCAGATTTTCACAACATATATACACGAATCCAGCCCTAAAAAAGTTCTGGAGGACCCCATGCCAGGCCTCTACCTGAGGATCACACTGTTGTGGCTTTCTTGTCTCACCTTGACCCCCATCAAAGGGCCCTGCTTGAGGAGAGACCTCCTAGAGAGCTGGGACCACCCAGAACTAAGACATCAAACTTCTGACCCACCTAAGCCCTCTAGGGGAATAGAGAAGGAAGAGAGAGACTCCACCTGCACCCACTGGAAGAAGTGATGGGAAGACAGCAATATAAGAAAACACCCAACAATAGAAAGGCAAGCATGACACCACCAAAATCTAAGGACTCTACGCCTACTAGACCTAAAGACAAAGCAATCAAAGCAGAAGAGAATGACTTAAAACATAACTTCATAAAAATTATACAAGCCCTAAAAGACAATATTAGAAAAATCTCTTAAAGAAATAGAAGAAAAAACAAACAATTGGAAGAAATAGAGGAAAAGACCAAGCAAATAAATCTGTAATGCAAAGGGCACAGTTAACAAGACCGAACTGCAGCCCACAGACTGGTAAAAATTCTTCACCAATCCTACATCTGACAAAGGGCTGATCTCTAAAATATACAAAAAATTCAAGAAACTAGTCAACAAAACACCAAATAAGCCTATTAAAAATGGGGTACAGAACTGAAGAGAGAATTCTCAATAGAGGAAATCAAAAAGAGTGCACAACATCCTTAGCTATCAGGGAAATGCAAATCAAAACAACTTTGAGATACCATCTTACTCCTGCCAGAATGGGTAAAATTAGAAACACCAATGACAACTTATGCTGGAAAGGATGTGGAGAAAGGGAGCATTCCTCCACTGCTGATGGGATGCAAACTTGTACAGCCATTTTGGAGATCAGTATGGCGGTTCCTCAGGAAAATGGGAATGAGTCTACCACAGGCCCCAGCAATCCCCCTCTTATGCAAATGATCCACATCCATGCAACAAAGACATGTGTTCAACTATGTTCATAGCAGCATTATTTGTAATAGCAAGAACCTGGAAGCAACCTAGATGCCCCTCAACTGAAGAATGGATAAAGAAGACGTGGAACATTTACATAATGTAATACTACTCTGCAGAAAAAACAATGGAATCTTGAATTCCGCAGGCAAGTGGAGGGAACCTGAAGAAACCATCCTGAATGAGGTAACCAAGTCACAAAAAGAGGAACATGATATGTTCTTACCCATATGTGGATTTTAAACATAAAGCAAATGATCAACAGACTATAATTCACACTGCCACAGAAACTAGGATACAAGGAGGATTATAAGAGATTCATAAAGAGTCCCTCACAGAAGCAGAAAGGGACAAGATCTCCTGAGCATATTGGGAGTGGGGGTGGGACAGTGAGTGGTGAGGGAACATGGAGAAAGAGAAGGGGAGGAGAGGAAATCATGTGAGACTAACATTGAGACAGGGAGGAATAGAAGAAAGGAGAGAGAGAGACATAATAAAAGAAAAGTCCTTTTTGTATACCAGGGATATATCTTAGTTCCTCTGTCTGAGGTCCCTTAGACTGCCTAGGCCTTCTAGCTGAGACCCATGTTCAGGGTCAGGGGGTCTGAGTCAGTCCCATGCTGGATTCCCAGCTATCAGTCTGGGGACCCTTTAGCTGTCCTTGTTTAGCTGTTGCCTCCCTCTCTGCATCTGGATTCCAGTTCTGCTTAGTGTTATGTTGTAGGTGTTTACTTCTGTTTCCATCAGCTACTAGATGAGGGCTCTATGATGGTGGATAAGTTAGTCGTCAATCTCATTATCAAGGAAGGGCATTTATAGTAGCCTTTCCACTGTTTCTCAAATTGGTAATGGGCTTTTTTTTTTTTTTTTTTTTTTTTTTTTTGGCTTGGGAATATTTTGATGAATGCTTCTATTTCATTAAGGGCCATAGGTCTATTTAAGTTGTTTATGTGTTCTTGATTTAATTTTGGTAAATGATAGCTATCCATTTCATGCCCACCCTTTCCTCCCATCCTGCCCCCTGCCCCGCATTCCACATATATGGTGATGCCTTCCAGGAGGGGTCATCTAAATCTGTCAAGTCATTTGGAGTAGGGACTAAGCCTTCTCTCCTGTCTCT